ACATGAACTTAACATGAAATTTGCTATAGAATTTAGGAATACATATATTAATTCCATAAATCCTCCATTCACAATATAACATAATATTTTCTAAGAAAATCCTTGGCTTAAAAATACATGAATTGTATTATTTAAGGTCTGGAATTTTCTCAGTCATTACACTAACAATGGCCTTAGTTCTTCTTTTCCTTCTTTTATTTTTTTATTTTTTATTTTTTTTCTTTAATTCAGGCATTGCAAGAGGATGTGGTTGGCAGAAAATGGGTGCATTTGTGAATCTAGGAGCTTTCTATGTCGTTGGAGTTCCAACAGCAATTATTTTGGCGTTCGTGCTCCACCTAAAAGCAAAAGTATACTACTGAATTAATTACTCCATTTTTGTTTATCCTCTTCAATTAATTATATTTGCAGATTAATATTTTACATCTCAAGTTTTTAGATAACCTTTTAGTAAGGTCTATTTACACAGACCTTACTCTCTTTTTCCGTCTTCTAGATTTCTTCCATTAGATTTTGCTTGTAGAAGGTTTTAACGAGGTCTCTCTAACTCTTTTTGTTTAAGAGAGTAGATCTTTTTCATACTGCTTTAGTTTGCTTCGGTACAAGATCCTTTCTTATTGTCTTTTTTTTTTTTTTTGATGCAGTTTTTTTTTTTTTTTTTCCTTTTCTGTCGATAATAAATGAGGGTGGGGTTGATAATAGGACAAACTATTTAGGTCCCGTTTATTTCACCGATTCAAGTTTAGAATTTGAGTTTTGCTACAGTAAAAAGCTATCAGAAACAGTCACATCTAATTTTTTTACTACAGTAAAAAGCTCACACATAAAGTCACATCTTAACTCGAATCAACGAACTAAATAGGCTCTTAGTGGATAACCTAATTGGAATGATAGGCTTTGTCAATATTACATCTCTCGCCTCATTTACCAAAAAAAAAAAAAACAGGTTTATTTCACTGATGCCCTTAAATTTTGGGGTCATTATGAATTAATTACCTCTTAAACTATAGAAACTTTCACTGTCTTTGAATTTTAAATTTGTCCCATTTAAGACCTTTTTGTATGAATTTTCGTTAAAATTAGACCCGAAAAAAAGGGTTAAGTGTGGTCATATGATTTTTATCAATTTACTTTTAAAAGATATTTAAACAAAAAGACCACGTGACTATATTACTCTCTTTTTTTTCCTATATGTTTTTAACAGAAAATATTCCAAAATAAGGATTTAAGTGAGGACAACTCAAACTTCAAAAGGCAAAATGAGTATTTTTGAAATTCCGAGGCAAATTGTGAATGCTTTTAAAATTCAAGATGCACCGGTGATAATAATTTAAAAACAAAAAAAACAAAAAAATGAATGCTAGAGATATTCTTATTCGATCAATATCTTGGGAGTGTCTTTTTTTTCCCCCCCTTTTTTCCCCCATACATTTGAAAACAAAAGTACAATGAACCTAGTATATATTCTTTGTTATTCAGTTTACTTGAACATATGCAGGGGCTTTGGTTGGGTATCACAGCTGCCTTCCTCGTGCAAATATTGTTTTTTCTTATACTTAGGTATCGTTTATTTTACCGATTCGAGTTTTGTTAGAGTAAAAAGCTCTCAGAAATAATCACATCTAACATTTTTATTACAGTAAAAAATTTTCACATAAAGTCACATCTCAATTTATATTAAAAATTCAAATCAGTGAACTAAACGAACCCAATACGCTCAGATTGGGAGAAAGAAGTAAGATCATTTCTTTTTCCTTTCCAATCAGTTTTCATGTTTCTTTTTGTACGGACGTTTATCTTTTCCTTCACGCTTCAATTTATGGAATGTGTGATTTTACTACCTTTTCTTCCTTTCTCTTTTCCAGGCTGCTAAGGCTATTACTAGAGTCCAAGAACCCATAACTGCTCCTTCGGAATTAGCGTCAACGAACGAAACCATTACCGACTGATCGTCAGGGATCCATTAACAATTTTCAATCTATTCTATATTGATATAGATCTAATACCAATGATCAATTATTGATATATATGAAGGCTCTGTTCATTTTATCAATTCAAATTTTATTACAGTAAAAAATTTGAAAAAACAGTCACATTTAACTTTTTTATTACAGTAAAAAACTCTCACATAAAGTCACATCCCAACTCGAATAAAAAACTCGAATCAGCGAACGAAACGGGCCCGAAATTTCATATATGTTACACTATATAACCTAACTATTTCCCTAACTTTATTAATGACCTTGGTGATGTTCCAAGAACCACTGAGATTCAATGACCCATATTACACAATTCTAGGCAGATTTCTTATATATAGTTATAAAGACCTCACTTATTTTACCGATTCGAGTTTTCAGTTTTAGGTTTCTACAGTAAAAAACTCTCAGAAAATGTCACATCTAACTTTTTCTGTTATAGTGAAAAGCTCTCTGAAAATATCACATTTCAACTTGAATTGAAAACTTGAATCTGCGAAGTGAACGAGGCTAAAATTCTTACTAACTAAATTTTATTTGGTGATGGATTCCAGCTAGCACAAGTCCCTTGACACAGAACTTGGAAAATAATGATATAGCCTTTCTATTGAGTGAAAGAATATTTATATACAAAATACAATACTTTTTTAATTAGGTAATTTTCTCATCCTAATTCAATAAAATAATCTTTCTTGATCTAGAGACTTTCTACAATTCAAAAAAATAGAAATCTAAACTAGGAAGCTAGAGTCTTGCTCTTGAGAGAGAGAAAACATGTGTGCGCGGGAGAGGCTTGGTGAGGGCACTCGCTAGTTGATCCTCAGAAGTCAATACATGAGCCACATTTAGAGCATTGTAGAGGGTGAAATCTACAATTAAATTTGTTAGGAGATGAATGACTGAATACGAATGATTGGAGCGTTAGTATCGTGATCATAGAGAAAATAAACAAAAAAGAAAAAAATAAAGATAGTGAGACACAAAAATTTATAGTGGTTCTCCTGATAACCCAAAGTACGTTCACTATAGGATCTTCAGATGTTCCACTATAATATTAATGAAAAATACAACGAAAATCTTTGTAAATGTCGGGAGAATATGTGGAAAATACAACAAAATGTTTAGAAATCTGTCTAAAAGCTTCTAGGAAAATGTGAGAAATGAGATGACATGTATCTGTATCCATGCAGCCCCTTTGTGGTCGTGCAAGGGCTAGTTTAATAGGCCTTGATTGCGGAAAAAATTATTTAGAGCAAGTTTTCCCTTTGATTTTTGATTGAAGATTCTTTCTTTGTAGGGAGGTGACTTAGGGAGCAAGCCTTAGTGTAATTGACTTTCCCTTTTGTTTTTCTGGGCAAGATCTCACGGTTTGGTGTTAATTTAATGATAGAATCAATCCATAATCTCAGAATGTGCTCGAATGACTGTTAGCGCGGCTGAACCTGTTGACGGGTAGCATACTGTTTTTGAAAGCTGATTTCGTGATTCAGCCTCACTCTTCAAGATGTATGAGGACACATGTATGATGAGAAATAAAAAACGAAATTTGATCTTAACAGTTAGCCCCCCACTCTGTAGTCGATGATAATCAGCTTAAAGTGTAGTTTGTGTGATCTGCTAGGCGACATCGTCTTCGGTTCCCGCGGCTCGTCAATATTCTTGAGTCACGTGAAATAGAGCCTCCGTTCGAGTGCCTGATGTGGCATGCTTCGGATGGTTAGCGGTTGAGATAACCGCTAACGAGGTGCGTGTAGGGGCGCGACAAGCTAGGCGTGAGAATCGGGACGATGCGCACGCCGCCACCATTTGCCAGCTTTTTCCCTCCGTCGCCGTTCTCTTTCCGGCGTTCTTCCATTCGCACGACTCCAGACTTCGCCGCCGTTCCTCGAGGTAAGTCCGCAGTTTCTCAGCCTTTTTCGGCTTTCTTATTGTTGAAATTCCATTTTTGGCGGATGAAATTTCGTGATTGAGTGATTTTGGAAGAGAATGAACGGAAATTTCACTTGTTTGTTTTGGATTTTGGCCGAACCTATGTTGATTTTTTCTTGGTTGTTCTTGCGTGTTTGGTTGTTGCTAGGACCTGCAAAACGCAATTTGGTAAAGGAAAACCAAAAGGAGTGAAATTACCCGTGAGAATGGCTGAATTTTTAGAGAAATTTGGGTCGTCCTCTTCATCAGTCGTTGCGGATGTTAGGCAGCCGAACTCCCCGGGCACTGCCCGTAGCCTTGATCTGCGAGCGACCCGACGTGAAGAGTTAAAAATCGACGATGAGGGAATTTATTGAGGCTGGGACTGTTTGGACGATGACACGGCGCCTGATGTGACGGGGTAGGATGTCAAGGCATGGTGGACGCAATATGGGATTCCGAAACATGTGGAGTTTTGGGCTCCGGACGGGAATGAGCGGGCAGATGAGAGAGACGGCTGGTTTGCCTTGTATTAAATATTTCTGATGTATAATATAAGACAGATGTCTGAATATATGTCATTGATCGTCCGCAGACATGTAATAAATCTAGTTTTAATGGACTAATTACTATGAAATTTTCATTCCAACGACGATTGTCAAATTAAATAAGGTTTATAAGCGTAGAACAAATTAGGAATGCTTTTTTTTTTTTTTATCAAAAAATTATAAATACATGTTGTGCACAACGTGGGAATACCCCACCACATACATTTTTCTTTTTTTCTTTTTTTTTTTTTGGTTTGGCTATGAACCTCATTCATTCATATGAGTGTGTGCATACACAGGTTTAGAGCGTACAGACCAAAAGAATACAAAAAACATTTATGAAGTCAAATGTAAATATACGTAGTTTCAATATTTATTGGTATTCTTTTCACGATATACACTAAAGTCACCCACATGAAATTTACTGGAAGAAAATTATTGCAGAAAGGAAGAAAAATTAAAGAATGCAGTTACATGGATAAACAGAAAAATTTTTGCAGGCATGATGCTTTTAATTCGGAGTTGTTTCCACACTAATGAATGAATGGACACAGTAATAGGGCGGTCATTGAAATTCAAATCATCAAAGGGCGCATACCAAATACATAAGATCCAAGCATCAAGTATTGTTCCATATAGTATACATGATCTTTATATGCAATGACTAGTGATTCTTTCTCGATATTTAGCACACTCGAATATTTGACTTCAAATTACGATCAATGGATTCGGAGCGAAAAACTAAAAGCAATACAAGTTGAGAAACCACGTAACCAGACATAGAGCTCTTTCGCTCATTCTAGTACAATTTGACGAGGGTTCAAGCTTTGCATACACAGAGGAACTCAAAGTACGGAAACTACGAAGAAATCAAGTCATGACACGGTGACACTGGCACCAAAATGCCGTGCCCCCACTTCTGCCCCGAGCAACTGCCAGTTCTTCGTCAATGTAAAACCAAATAAAGAAAGGATCTTTGGTGCTTGGCTCTCTCTCATCCTTTTGGCCTAGACTGATCTCTAAAGGGTTCAAAGATCCAACTTTTATTCTAATGCACTCAAAGATGAAAGCCAATATTCTATTTTTCCAGGAAAATCTACCTTCAAAAGTTAAGGCTCCAACTGGCCCAAGATATACACCATTCTCAATTCTCTTTGCCTGACAATTCATGAAGACAATTGTTAGTTTCTAAAGTTTCCAAAAACAAGGACAATAGAAACACATTCCATGGCCTTTAATTGATATGTAAGACATTTGAAAGTTTCTATTCTTTTAGCAACAACGAATCCGAGACAACTCTCATCACTTGAATGATGCCATTTCGCATGAAAAAGAATTAACAAGTACGACACATAAAGTATCAACAGATGAACAATAAAATTTGTTATTTTTGTCTTCTTATCTACATCTTGTTCCCCCTTTTCCCTTATTTTTCATATGAGAAAAATTTGTATAAGCTAATAAATGGAAACATCAATGCCAGTTATCTTACAGCAGCATCAAACCTCTGAACCGCTGTAAGAGGGAAGTATCTACCGCCCTTCAATTGTTTCTGCAATTCCAGGAACAAACACAGCGTAAGGATCATACCAAGAGGGAATAAACATATAACTGCAAACACGAACACCACGGATTTAGAAATATATCCACCTCAGAGGTAAAAATGAGCATCCAGGTTCTCCCTGGGGATTTTGAACCACCGAGTGTATCAAGGAATCTTGAAGGATCGAGTTTTGCCTTCTCAATTACAGATAGCGCAGACAGAACCTCATCTTTGGGTACTTTTCTCGTTTTTGCAGCCTCCTTGAGCACTTTCACACTCTCTTCAACATCCTTAATCAGAAGAGCAACAAAGCTCAATAAAAATTCCACTACGCAGAAATAAATCTATGTAGTACTAGCGTCGAACTATTGCAGCAACTGTGAAAATATAAATAAAAGAATGAAAACTAGAGAGTGAACATCAAAGAACTCTGATATGACATGAAAGAACCATTATCTTATTTAATTGTGAAACTGTACAATCAGAGACTTACATAGCTACAAAGTAATATAAGTAACTAGAAGCTAAACCACTGCCTATGAGCGACGTGTTATGAGTAATCTAACTAGCTTAGTACACTAAACTGATTAGAGCTTTGAACACTTCTAATGTAGGGTAGAATTTAGTCTCGAAATTATAAGCCAAGTTCCATTTAAGTACTGCATTTAAAATGTACCAGAACGAATCGTCGAATTACCAAATTGTTCTAAATTACTCTTTTTGTCCATTCGATTGTCAAAATCTGAATAAAGTCATTAAAAGGCACGACTTCCTTCACAATAGTCATTTCCTAACACATAAAATGAGCAAATTAACTCCTACTAACCCGCACATAATTCGTTCTGGGTTTAAAGTCAGTGAAGTACAAATGGGTTTAACCTATAGTTTGACAACTAAAGATGAGATTAACCTTTGCAATAAGGCACTGCAACAAAAAACCTTAACTGAATTAGATCAGTAGCTCTCCAATCAACATTCCTAACAGCAACAAACATAACACAAATCAAACACCATCTATTCAATTCCCAAGAAAACTAAAGAGTGGAACTGACTTTCTAGTTTCTGCTCCGTGGAATAAACAAAAAACTATGAAAATATAAATGGCGGCTCATTCATTTTTGGACATAACAAAAGTGAAGCATCCATGAAAACAGGAAGTATGAACAGTTTGAAGTGGAAAACAAACAAAAATGGGACCAAAACCGAAATGGAGAGAAAAAGAAGCTTACTCTGTTGGGCTTTGGTTCCTGGCCGAGAAGAGGGGAAGTGGCGTTTTGTTCATCTAAGGCTGCCCCGGTTCTTGCTCGCTCAAATCTGGGGTTGTGAAGATTAAGGTTTGTGGACTTGAGAATATGTGGGTTTTGAAGAGGGAAAAGATTTGATGTTCGAATGGATGTTTGAGCGGAATTTGGAGCTACCCAGTTGGCGAAACGGGAAGATAATAGCTGGAATGAAGCTGTTTGTAAACCCATTGATGTTTCTTATGGCTTCTGAAGATGATTTTCGTTTGGGTAACAGCCATTTCTGTTTCCACAGAGGCTTTGATCGTGATTTGTCGTTCACTCCCCTCCCAAGTCCCACCTTGTGGATTAGATTTTTTTTTTTTTTGTAATAATTTTTGGAATATATTCATCAAAGGTCCCTCAATTCTTTTCTGTCTCTAAAATTAATCCATATAGTTAAATTTATCTCATAAATTGTCCTTAAATTGAAAAAATGTCTTATAAATAGTCTTTTTGTTAAAATTTTAGATAGAATCCGTTAAATTAGATAATAATTATAATTTTTAAGTTATTTTATTTTACACTTTTGTCTTATTTGAGATCTCTAAATATTATTTACTTCTCTAGAATTGGTTATTAATATTTTTCTCTACAATTAATCTCTAAATTGTTATTTTTATTGTTTGAATCAAATTTGATCCAAGTGAAGTTACATTTTTAAACGGATGGTATGCCTCTTACACAATTAAGATAATTATTATGAAAATTATCATTATTGTTTAAATTGTACAAGCATTATATAGTGTGTGTATATATATATATATATATATATATAATTAACTCTTTTTTCATGCACTTGTATCAATGTACCTAATTACAATTGATGGTTTTCTTTTTGTTTCAGAACTTCTAGTACTCCATGTATTGTGCATTATGGTCTTCGTTTTCTTTCTTTTTTTAGTAAATGCATTATGGTCAAATTAAGGTATGGCCGCTTATTAATTATATCAAGTTAGAAGAATTTACTGATAAAGAGGGCAGCATTTTTTTGTGGTGTCTTTTTCTTTTCAATTGATAAGAATAAAGTGACGTTGGAAATATCCAGAAAACTACCAAAAATAATAATAATAATAATAGTCTCTTGCAATAATCCCAACATTAAGAATGAAGAGTTTAAATTCTATCTACTTCATGAAAAATAATTTAGCTATTTCATAACATAAAAAAAAATAATAAAAAGAAAAAAATAACCTATAAATAACCCAAAAATCATAACTACCATCTAATATAACAGGTTTTATCTAAAAATTTAACTGAGGGATCATTTATGAGACATTTTTTCAGTCCAAGGATTATTTATGAGACAAATTTAACTATAAGGATTAATTTTAGAGAGAGAAAAGAATTCAGGGACCTCTCATAAATTTATTCCTAAATTTTTTGATACAACTAGTGGATTAGATTTTACGTCCAATTATTCTTTCTTTCTTTCCTTTTTTTTTTGGTTTTTAGCGTATTTGCCCATTAAATATGTCGTGGTTTAACAAATTACCTCTTAAATTTTTAATTTTAGCAAGTTACCCTCTCAACTTATAAAATTTTTGTAATATGCCCCATTTTAACAATGATTGTGTTAAATTAAGGCAAACAAAAATACGATCAGTCAAAAATTTTAACATTTCAATTCAAACGTAACACAAATATTTCAACTCAACTATTAATCTCTTAAATCTAATAAAAAATCTAAGCAAATTTAGTTAAATGAGACACGTTGACAAAATTAAAAGTTTAGAGGGCAATACCACGACAAGCTGGGGGGGGGGGGGGGGGGGGGGGGGGGCCACAAAAA